GCATTATTTTGGTTTCAACTTCCATAGCTCGTATGGGAGTTGAACACATAGCCCCAGAAATAATTCGCAGAGCTTTGTTTTGAATTATGTCTAGTTTTTTTACACAACTACTATTTGAGTAGGCTAAACAACTGTAGTCGAAATGGCTTCTGACTATAGATTTATATAGCATACTTAAAACTTTGGGGTCTGCACCCCAAGTCACACCAGCTAAACATCTTATAATATTTAAGCCCTTAAGAGAGTTAGTTATAATGTGATTGATGTGTAAATTAAAACAAAGTTTGTTATCAATGACAACACCCAGGAATTTATGGTTAGATACAACTGAAATTGGATGATTATTGTAGAGTATGCCATTAGAGGGAAAATCTTTACTAAAAATCATGGCCTTGCTTTTGTTACGGTTAATCTGTAGAGCCAACTTGTCATTATAATATATGTACAATTGCTCTAAAGCATTATTTATACTATTTACAGCTCTATCTACATTATGGTCTGTACAATATATTACAAGATCATCCGCAAATTGTAAAATATTTACACCTTCTATATTTACAAAATTAAGAATTTGACTAGTGTATATGTTGTACAACAATGGAGATAATGTAGCCCCCTGCATTGTACCTTTGGAGACCCTTCTGGGACCATGGAGAATATTATTATGCCTTATATACAAAGTTCTATCTATTAAAAAATTAAATAACCAATGGCAAAGTATGCCTGGTATACCAATGTCAGAAAGAACTTGAACCAAAATGCCAGGATCTACATTATCAAACGCACCTTCAATATCCAGAAAAACGCAAACACTGGACTTATTATTATTATTGGCATATTTCAGATCTGACAAGAGAGAGATGAAGCTGTCAGCACAACTTCTGCCTCTCCGGAAGCCATATTGAACATGTGGAATGATGTTGTTCGCCTCTACATAACACTCAAGACGCATCTTTATCATGTTTTCATTAAGCTTTCCAACACAAGATGACAAAGATATAGGACGATATGAATTAGGATCTTCAGGTGGCTTGTCAAGCTTAAGTAGAGGGATTACACACTGTGTTTTCCAAGATTCAGGAATTTTTTTTAAGTGCCAAAGAGCATTAAGATTAGCTAATAGTTTCTTTTGTACGGACTGATTTAGGTTTTTGATCAAAATGTATGGACAATTATCTAAACCAGGGGTTGTGTTTCGTCTGGATTGTAAACTTGTACAAAACTCACTCCAAGTAAAGGGTTCTATGAGGAAACTGGACTTCTGAAGACTATTATTAATTTTAAAAATAACTTTCTAGATTATCAATAACCCTACATCCATTTCGAGATAATTTGTCTAAAAGAGGGACTACAAATTCGTCTTTATATGTTCTATTATTGCATTTTATTCGTTTAAATAACTTGATGTATTTCCAAATAATACTAACAGGTGTAGTTCTGTTAAAAGTATTACAGATGTTAGCCCAACCATTGCGTTTATGTTCTGAAATAGTCTTTTTCTTAACAGCATTAAGTCTTTTGTAATTAATGTAATTATCAATGGTTGGATCTCTTCTGTACAGTTTTAAAGCTTCATAAGTTTTAATAACACTCTGTTCACATGTGTCACTCCACCAAGGTGCTGGAGGTTTGCAACGATAGTTGTTTGCTTTGACAAACTTTGGCACAGTATCTCTCCTAAGTGTATCAAGCCTTTCAATAAATTCATCATATGACTGTAATGGATTCTCATTATTAACTTCAAAATTAGAAAAAGCAGTTATAGACAGCTCATTGTATTTTGTCCAGTCTGTCTTGTTGTATAAGAATTTTTCAATGGGAGGATTAATTTGGTATCTATCAACTGACAATAAAACACGAGTAAGCGTAGGAAAATGATAGCTCCCCATACAATCATCATGCACCCACCATTCGCATAGTGGAGTGATTGAAGCACTACAAAAGCTGACATCAATAGCCGATGGATTTCGGTTAGGATAATTAATAGTAGTGAAGCTACCATTGTTGAGGACACATAGATCGAATTCATCAATTAAATCGTATAACTGATGACCCCGACTTTTCGTGGTCATACACCCAAATGCCACATGGTGAGCGTTGAAATCTCCAGCCACATATATTGGCTTAGGCAAATCTCTAATTATATCACGCAGTTTACTTATTCTGAAGTTACCATTCGATGGAGGGCAGTATACACATAAAATCGTTAATTGTTTACCACTTACATATAACAATATTGCCACAGTCTGAATGTCTTGGTAAAATCTGGTTTGAATAATATTATATTTAAAATACGGTTTGATCAAAATTGCTACTCCACCATGCTCATTTTGGGCATTATGATAGTGGAAATTATATCCCGAAATGTTAAAATGCTGAGTATCTTTCAGCCAAGTTTCATTGAGTAGAGAGATATCAACATTTTGTTCATCTAAAAATTTAGACAATAAGGATTTTTTCCTATGTATACTTTGAATATTGTACTGAGCTATACATAACTGCTGTATGTTCTGTACTGTACTGTCCATTATTGTGACAGATTTTTTAAAAGTAAGTCTTTAATGAACAGTGTAGTCACAGGTTCATTATCTGTTTTATTACCTAATTCGACTAAAGTTTGGACCATTGCCATCAAAATATTCTTATTGTTTGCAATTTGAGCCTTAAGTTGAGTTTGGTTCAAGTTGGGTTCAGGCACTGTTTTATTTACATTATTTACAATTTTTACATTTTTATTTAATTTATGTACATTTTGGTTTATTGATGGTAGGGTCTTAACAATGCTGCTCGACTGTGCAGGTAAAGACGGAAAATCAGATGACTTAATTGTATTAGCTACAGAGGCATAAGTAATTTTACCCTTTTTTTCAAGTATTTTTTTCATTTTTATTGGGCAAGATTTGGAAATGGCCAGGTGGGGACCACTGCAATTGACACAACACAGGTTTTCTTTTTTATCACAGTCTCTGAAATTATGTTCCCCAGCACATATCGAGCAACGTTGTTTACCATTACAAATTTTCGCAGGGTGGTTGAACTTGAAGCACCGGAAGCATTGTTGTAACGGTGGGACATATTCAAACACCCTGAACGAAAATAGGTCATATTGGATGTTGTCGGGCAGAACATTTGATAGGAAAGTTATACTGACCGTCTCGAGACCTACAGTACTTTGACCGACTTTTTTCGTGAATCTTCTCACTGAAATAATTTCATAAATCGAAGACAGTTTCGTATATAATTCCTTGTTCGAAATGTTGGTAGGCACATATCGGATGATTCCAGTTTTTTCTATCTGTGCTGCAGGAATATGCGCCTTCAAGTTGTGCTTTGTTAAAAAGTCTGTATTTGTGATGAAATTATTTGCAGTGTTGTATTGTTTAAAAACAACCGCAATTTTGTTGGCATTGACTCTATGTAAAGCTACCACACCTTTCACCTCCGAAGTAAAAATATGATTTAAGTAAACTGGGCTTTTATTTCCAAGTTTAACCTGTTTGTCCTGGCTTTCAACAAAAACTTTGAAGTCCGTATTTGTACAATGTTCAGGATAAAGTCTCAGATAACCTGGCTTAAAAAACGGAATAAAGTCATCCTCACCGCCGCCTACTTCAGGTCTACTTTCCTTCGTACCTCTTTTACGAACAATTTTGGATCGTTTCGGGGTTCCACCTGGATCCTCCGGTTCATTCATTTTAACAATTAACAAAATGTAGAATTATTTACACCGAACAGGATATTTTAACGATAAATATAAAAATTAAATCGACCGCCTCGTTTGATGTTCCCGCCAAAAAACTATTTAGAGATTCAATTTATGTTGACATATAGGGCTAATGTTGCCACATTACCAAACCCTTAGGAAATGGGATTGTAATTCACTGATTCGTGAACCCAATAATGCATACGAGACCTTCAATTTTGGAATTTTTAATGTAATTAATCGTAGATCAACTATTTATTTATTGGTACATTATTTTACAAAGCTTAACTTCTGATTTAGTTAGTGTGGAAATTATTTATAAGAATTTACCGGGAGATTCAAATAAAAACATAGCAATATTGTGTTCCACACTAAAAAGAGAAGTCAGACCACAGAGAGTGAGATAAAGATACGTAGGTATTTGACTCAAACTGTTGTTCCAAGTGTGGCCTCCATCTTTATCTATAACTTCATGTTTTTTCACCTTTTGCTTTTGTTGACATTTGACATAAACAGTATTACATTATTGCATATTGTACATAGACTAATATATAATACTGGAGAATATTGTATATCTACTCTATTGTAGAACTTGTGTGTAATCAGCTAAACGTAAATAATACATTTACCTTCAACTAATGATAACTGATAATGACAAAAAACAACGAAATAACAAAAAAGAAACAAAAAATTAACTTAAGAATCGAAGATACAAAGATACAATACACAAACTTCCGACGACAGTGGAATTATTTTTTGGGCACCACACGACGTGTCACTTATGTATGAATGCATAGCTAATTGTTAACTTTAATCTTACTCTTATGCTGGGGCCACAGTAACGAGACACGTCAATGCCCATAAACGCAACAATTATTGCCTTAATTTTAACGCGATAAACTGAGTGGCCACACTTGTGCCCGGGCTACACTAACGAGAAATGCCGTTAATTATCGCGTTGATGGGCGTTGAATGTAGGTGTGGCCACCACTTAACGCGACAATTTTTTTAACGGCATGAACAATGGCGTTTGCCGTCGAGCGATAACTCGAGTGGCGGTACATCAAAGAGATTGACGCACGAATTAACGCGTTGAAGCGGCCACACTGCTTTTGTCTCGTCGCCGTTGAACGGCGTTAAAGTTGGCAATGTACCTTGAATTTCAAGCAAGATGGACGTAGACGCTGCTATTCTATATTTGATGAGTGTAAATTTTTATTATATGAATAATATATTTTATCATTGCCAAACGAAGAAAAAAAGAATACAAAGAAAAAGAAGATGGTGGATGCTACAAATGCACAGAAAACGTACACTGTAAGTCTATTTATCTTTATTAATTTAAATGTTTTTTTTCCGCACCCAAATTGCACTAGAAAGACTTCCAATGTTGTAAGCTAAATAATAAGCCAAACATTATTATACCTTACTAAAATAATAACTAATTAGCCAAGCATAAATTACTGGTCAAGTGCGAATTATATACACGCACCCAGGGTTCCGTACCACTGTACAATATGTATTTCCACCTATGTTTTTTTCTCCTGCTTATTTTTCTTTCTTTCATACGCTCAATTAAAGTGTAATTTGAAGTAATTTTTTAAATATTTTGCAGGAACACAATGGAGGAAATATTCTCCGACCTACTAGCTGAACCAAGTAATCAGTTTCAGGGATTCGTTCGAATGTCAGCAGCTGATTTCGAATTACTTCTTAGCAGGGTTGGGCCTTTGATAGAAAAACAAAAAACTAAATTTCGTGAAACTATACCTGCCAAAATTCGACTAGCAGTTACTTTACGATATTTAGCTACAGGAGATAGCTACAGAAGCTTACACTATTTGTTCAAGATGTCTCACCAAGTAATTTCCAATATTGTAAAGGAATGTTGTGCTGCTCTCATATATGTATTGAAGGATATGATCAAGTTACCTGAGAATGAAAACGAATGGCTACAAAAAGAATCTGAGTTTAAAGATACATTTCCACATTGCTTGGGAGCAATCGATGGTAAACATGTTGCCATGGTGTCACAGATTCACAGTGGGTCTGAATATATTAATTATAAGCGTTCATTCAGTATTGTTTTGATGGCCTTGGTGGATCGCAATTTTTGTTTTATGTTTTGCGATGTCGGAAACAAGGGTAGAATCAGCGATGGTGGTGTATTCAGAGATAGTGTTTTATTTGAAAAACTTCAGACAAATTCCTTGCACTTACCACAACCTAAACCACTTTCTGATGACGATGTAAATGTGCCTTACGTTTTTGTTGCTGACAATGCATTTCCATTGCATCCCAACATAATGAAACCTTTTCCCGGCGAACACTCCGAAGGAAGTACGCAACGAAACTTTAATCGTAAACTTTCTTCTGTACGTATTGTTGTGGAGAATGCATTTGGTGTTATGTCAGCCCGGTTTCGAGTACTTAAAAAACCTATAACTCTACAACCAAACAAAGCTTCAAAAGTTGTAATGGCATGTGCTTTACTGCACAATTTCTTAAGAAAAAGTTGTAACTCTCGGTCTATTTACAGCCCATCGGGCTATATTGACACAATTGTCAACGGAGAAATAATAAATTCGGGAACCTAGAGACAAGACATTGGAGAAGGCGAAGGCGCTTTCAGGTCAATGAGGAATATTGCACGACGTTCAGCTTTAACAGCAATCGAGGTTCGGAATAAATTCGCAGAACATTTCAGGGACATGAATTAGTCGTAAGGTAGGACGTTCAGACGGCACGCTAGCGCCGCCAATAGGAATAAATGACTTTTAGCAATATTTAGGACATCAATCGATTTGCTGATTATTTGACAGGTAGTTACAATGAAATTACATTATAATATTTAAAAAATGTAATGTAATTAAACTCTTACTGTTTGTTAAAATAATCTGTTTTTTGACATAAATGTAAGTACTTAACTATTCAATTGAATTGAAACAACATTTTTGTAGTTTGGAAAATAAAACAACATACTCTGTATTTGTCTTTCATTTATTTATTTTTGAAGGAATTAAAGAAAATAATTTTTCAATCTTTAATTATCATTATTTTACCGGTATCTGTTATTACTATCTGTGAGGCACGTGATGGTGGTAATTCTAGGAAATTTTCTTGGGAAGATTGAACTGGGTAGTGATCTAGAGGTGATGATGGACTGTTTATTTCGTGTCGTGAAAGTGACTGGTATGTGGACGGATTTGGTGATGGACTGAATTCTTGATGGTGTGGAGAATGGGATTTGAACTGGCCTGGAGGTGACTGGTATGTAGACGGATTTCGTGATAGACTGAATACTTGATGGTGTGGAAAATGGGATTTTAATTGGCCTGGAGGTGACCTGTATGTAGACGGATTTGGTGATGAACTGAATACTTGATGGTGTGGAGACTGGGATGTGGATTGGCCTGGAGGTGACTGGTATGTAGACGGATTTGGTGATGGACTGAATACTTGATGGTGTGGAGACTTGGATGTGGATTGGCTTGGAGGTGACTGGTGTGTGGACTGATTTGGTGGTGGACTGAATACTTCATGGTGTGGAGAATAGGATTTGAATTGGTCTGGAGGTGTCTGGTGTGTAGACGGATTTGGTGATTGACTGAATACTTCATGGTGTGGAGACTGAGATGTGGATTGGCCTGGAGGTGACTGGTGTGTGGACGGATTTGGTGATGAACTGTATACTTGATGGTGTGGAGACTGGGATGTGGATTGGCCTGGAGGTGACTGGTGTGTGGATAGATTTGGTGATGGACTGAATACTTGATGGTGTGGAGACTGGGATGTGGATTGGCCTGGAGGTGACTGGTGTGTGGATAGATTTGGTGATGGACTGAATACTTGATGGTGTGGAGAATGGGATTTGAATTGGCCTGGAGGTGACTGGTGTGTAGACGGACGCGGTGATAGACTAAAAACTTGATGGTGTGGTGTCTGGAATGTGGGAAATTGAGGTACTACAGACTGTTGTTCCAGTCGATCTGCCATACATGTGCGAAATACTAAAATGTGAATTTCGTTCATTAAAATATCACGCGTGTTTGGATTTCTAATTTTTTTTAGTTTACTTGCGATCAATTTTCCGAACATCTCATATTCATCATCTGTCTTCTTTTTTATATATTCAAAAGCTTCGTCTATTTGCCGTCGTGCTGCTCTTATTTCTGGAGGCAAATAGTCACTCAGTTGTCTTTTTCTCCCACTATCTTGAGAAGATTTATTTTCTCTTGAACGAGATCTATTTCCACCTTGTGTGTTTTGTGAATCCTCCTCTATTTCTAAAGAAAAATGAGGGCTGTTATTATTTTGGTCATTTATTCCCTCATTTCTTTCTTGGGACTCACTGTCTTCGTTTGTCTGAAAATATTAAAAAAAATAATATTAAAAACAATATTAAAAAAAAATTATGTTAAAGGTGACAAAATATTAAAGTTTTATGTTATTAATGTATTAAATTACCTAAAACAAATGACAAACACAGGTCTCAAAACCTTAGTATGTTAAAAGTGACAAAGTATTAAACTTTAATGTTATTAGTAAAATCTAAATTAAATATTAGATAGAATAAATACACAAAACAAGTTTTTGTGTATATTAAAATAAAAAGGAATCTTTATTTGATATAGTTTCATCGGCTTTGAAGAACAATTCATTTAACTGCATTGAGGTACAAATACTTATGCCAGCATTAATGCCAGCCATATTAGATAGATAGAGATGTGTAAAAAAAATAGTAATTACTTGTACCAGAAGCAAATGTTATACAGTTTCATAAGTATAATAAATATAGAAAAGACAATATATTGATAAGAATTAATATTTAGTATAGCCACTCTTTACAATAGTCATTAACTTTTTTCAGGTGAGAACAAATATGTATGCCTTGCAGGCTGAAAATTACAGAGCTGCCCATAGGCAGAGGCAAAAAAAGAGTATGGATATTGAAGACAACAGTCTTATATTATATCTCTTATCATTGAAAATTCCTACCAATATCATAAATGGACATGTTATCAACAAGTTTTTTAGAGAAACTCTTTTGAAATTATGATTGACAATAACAATATTTATACAAGTGTTTTTGTTATCCTTACAACAGTTTAAAACATCTTACTTCCTCACTATTTATCAGTGTGTAATAACAGATCGAAATGATATTACCTAGTCATTTTGGATTTAATGGTGTTTGGTAACTAATCAGTTAATATATTTTCAAACAAACAAACTATACTCTGCGCCTTTACTAATCAACCAAAATATATTAAAACAAAGTTGTGCCTGTCTTCTGTTCTACTATTAATAGACTACTTTGGAAATGATAATTTACTATAATAAATACATATTAATTTATGTTTTCATCCTTACACAACCAGTTCAAAACATCTTGCTATATAGCGTGTGTCAGTAATATTATAAATAGACATATTATCCCTGAGTTATCTTGGCTTTAATATTTAAGCTTTTCTTTCTTTAATCTTTTTTTAGAAGAATGTTACCCCCACACTAGGACTTTCTTCTGTATCGTGGAGGCAGTTTACAAACATAAATTGCACAAGGACAAACATCCAGACCCGGAACAATTATTTGCAGGTCAGCAGCGCAGCAACCCTTGCTAAGCCACTGCGTCACGAAGCCGTCATATTACTTTAATGCTATTTGGTCACAATCAGTCAATACATGTAAAAATATTATCCATACCACATTTGTGGGTACGACTTTCCATTGACGTCAGTGGAGTTTGGTGTTGATACGTATTTTTACAGAAAGATTACACTATTATAAGCACACACACAAAGTCTCAATATACGGAAACGCGTAATTTTTGAGAAAAGAATAATTGAAAATCAATTATTCTTGCAATGTTTATGTCTAATCTGCTAATAAACTGGCGCCATTTTGTAATGTCATTGTCGACGTCAATAGGGATGTCGATTCTTTCCGAAAAAGATTGATTTTTTAAATAGATTCGAATTGTAAGCTGATGTATCGATTCCCAAAAAATCGATTTCTAAAATGTCGATATTTTTTTCATGTTTGCATTTATAATGTAAATATAAATCCATTTTATGAGAAAAAATCCCCTTCATCATAAAAAAATAAGGGGACTGATTCATAAGGATTTCTGTATCTATTTTGAGACTGCTACGTCTCCGGCGCTGCGGGAAGAGCAACCTCTACGCCTTAGCGTAACAAATCGTAGGCATTGGACGAGCCGAAGCGGCTGAGGCTGGTCGCCGAAGGCGACCAACAAGCCGAAGCTGCGGAGGCGAGGACGATTTGTTACAGCAGGCGGAGGCTACTCCCCCTACGCGCCTCCGGCTCTATAAAACCACTCTAGGGGTAGGACAGACTCGTACCAGGTGGAGTCGGGGTCAATCAATTCGGTTCTTTGACATAAGTTGAACCTAACCTATTTTATTTGTTATCTGCCCTAATAGGTACTGTTAAATAAAACAAATTTCAATAAGAGATCATTTATCATGGTATCTTTCTTGTTTTTCATAAAATGGGTTTATATTTACATTATAAATAAAAACATTAAAAAAATATAGATATTTTAGAAATCGATTTTTTGTGAACCGATACATCAGCTTACAATTTGAATCGATTTAAAAATCGACCTTTTTCGGAAAGAATCGACATCCCTATTGACGTCGACAATGACATTACAAAATGGCGCCAGTTTATTAGCAGATTAGACATAAACATTGCAAGAATAATTGATTTTCAATTATTCTTTTCTCAAAAATTACGCGTTTCCGTATATTGAGACTTTGTGTGTGTGCTTATAATAGTGTAATCTTTCTGTAAAAATACGTATCAACACCAAACTCCACTGACGTCAATGGAAAGCTAAGCCCATTTGTGCACAGACAGGCACTATATTTTACCGAAACTAATTTATGGATTTTCCATCGATCTTAAGGTAAAAACTAATAGACAATCGCTTTTAATTTGTTGTTAGGTTATAGTAAGATTCATATTTTATTTGCTAATTTCACTATATTCCGTTTAGATTCCGTATAACTAATATTACTATTGATATAGATTATAATAAATCAACACGCATTCATTAAGTGTCGCTAAAATTTGTGGCGGGCCCATTCTCCATACAAAAAGAATTTGTCTTATTTAAACATCGTAATTTTAGTGTTTTTTCTGAACGATTTTCAAATTTGCCGCCATTTTCTTGTGGCTCGACTCAATGACCAAACTAAGTACTGACTAGATTGATATAATGACTGGCTATTAATTATTACTTACCACTGTATTTAATGTGTGATTACTTTCATATACCCCTCGTAGGAAACTATCCATCGTTTCGAATGCGAACCAATTAGTTGCATAGACGTCATTTTTGCCAGCTCCAGACTTCAAAGATTTTTTATATTTGTTCAAATGAGTCCTGTAATAACCTATTAGGCTTTCCTTCTTCTTTCTAATTTCTTCAACAGTTGTTTGAGAACAAGATAATACTTGTACAATTCGTCGCCAAGCATCATTTTGCGATGTACGATTTTTGAGAAATTGAGTTGAAATGAAAAGTTTTGAGTCTCGGATCCCACAAACATGGCACTGTTTGCAGAATCTCGAGAAATGTAAGAATTTTTTCATTGTTCCACTCCATACCCAAACGCGCGATCCCGTTGCGCTCACCCTTCCTTATATATTACTATACTCTTTGCGCTCACCGTGCGCAATGAGATTAAGACAAACGTATAGTCGTGGGTAGTTCGCGGTTCGCGAACGACCTAGGTGGGAAGAGCGCTCTTTTAGGTGAACTATGCGAACTAGTTCGTCGACAATCTCGCTCTTAGTTCTTTAATTATTTATTTTTCTTGCGTCCGCTCTATTATGGAGTGGCACTGCATGGCTAACCGACTGATTTATTTTTATTCTTACCGTTCTTACCAGAGTTTTTTATTAAAGTATATAATTTATAGTATATAGTTAAGGTTTTATTAGTGCACAATTCACAACAAATAACAAATATTGCTGGCTCACAATATAAATATGAAAGTGATAGTGAGCAGTACATAAATATTGTATAGTTCTCAATTCGATTTTACGGTAAGTTTATTCAAAATTAATATTATACTTTTCTATTTCTACTAATTTTAATAAATACTCGAATACAGTGCAACCTCAATATAACGAAACTGAATGGAATTAGAAAGTATTCGTTATTATACCAAGTAATTCGTTATAATGAGGTTTGTTATATAGAGGTTATGTGGAACTACAATGCGTTTTAACAAGGTAAGAAAACTTGTTTATTAATCTCAACATTACGTAAATAGTCATCTGCCTGTCGTGTACGTGTCTGAACCTACCAAGACGTGATTTATTGTAGAATTAAGTGGGAATAATTAATAGGATAATATGTTATGTCAAGATTTCAAGTTGAAAAAATTGGTTAAAACAAGGTAAATAATACCTTCTATATATATGCTGCAATGATTAAAAATTCGATATAAAGATGTTTCTGATAAAATCTATTCGTAAGGTAGAGTTATATTTTGCATTAGCTCTTACAGGCGAACTGCCTAGGGGATTTCGAAAAATTCGTTAAACCGAAAAATTCGTTATATTGAGGTTTGTTATATCAAGGTTACACTATGTTACATTAATTAACGACATGTAATCTATAAATTGCAGTTGCGTTAATTTCAATAATCCAATACACTTCAAAAATATAAAAACATGTTTAGCTTCGTTTATTATATTTTATTTTAATGTCCATATCATCGAATAGTTCTTGATAAGAATCATGCATATTATATTATATATTATGAAAATGAAAAATACTTTAGTTGACAGTTAGCACCTTTATAAACAATTTAACAGTGGTTTTCACACCAGGCTCACAGATCTGTATCTTGAGAGCCATATACACATATTAGCAAAAACAGAATTAGTGCACGGCTGACTTTACAAAGCTTTCCTTACTTTAAATGTCTTCCTCATTTTATTTATAGTCTGTAAACATAAATATATACTTAAACACATATACACACACATATATACATACACACACACACACACACACACACACACACACACACACATATATATATACATACACATATAATTTGTTAATATTACAGTATTTTGAATTACTATTATAATAACAATATCAATCAAATATCAATATTGGGCATATAACTACTATGACAATGTTTGGAGCAGCTTCTCTGTTTGTTCATAATTAAGCGTAAACAACCAATTTCTTATTTTCTTTCTAGCTATGTTCATTGAGCAATCTCTTATGTCGCATGCCTTCATAACTTTGTTAAATATGAGTGTTTCAATGAATTGATTAAATCGTTTTGCGAAAGCTTGGTAATGGCATGTATGTATGTACTTATAGTCCGGCCGCTGAGTTATTACCGATTTGACACATGACGAATTGACAATACTAGTGAAGTGACTGAACCAGTAACCCTAATATCATTTGGGAACAGTTTGTTTTTAAATATTCTAGTATAGTGTGTAATTAAATAAAATCAAAACAATAATAGTTAAAGACACAGGTTCTTTATTAGGTGGAGTATCCTTGATGGGCGTAGATAATTGGTCGAGGACATATCAAAATAAAACAAATTTGTAAACACTGTTACACATTTTAATGAATAGAGTAGGTACAAGATGTTTTAATAAATGACTACCTATCATTTATTAAAACAATTATTCAGACTCTGAACCAGATTCGCCAGAGCTGTCATCGCTATCAGTCACTTGTATGACAATTTCATTCTCTATAATGGTGTCCACTCTTATATCGCGTTCATAATCTTCTGTTATTAGTTTTCGAGTCTTTTCGACGACCTTGACCCAATCTTCTTTCGTTATTTTGCTGCAAGCATCTTTTAATAGACTCATCATTTTATTAGTACTGAATGGCGGAGTCGTATTATTACGAGCTGCGTAACCTGTAATGTAAACATTAAATAACGTTAATTTATTACATTAAATAAACGAAATGTTACACAATTACCTACATGTAAGGGACATGAGATATTTATTTCTTAGTTATGTATCTTTTTACTTATATGCTGAATATTGGATGTTATAATAGTACAAATTATTCATATTCATAACTTATGCGATAAAAAACAATACCTTTGATTTGTGCCCATATTAGCTCAATGGCATTGTACTGGCAGTGATAAGGCGGAATTCGAAGTACCCGATGTCCATGTGCTAGAGCTATCTCATCTACTTCATAACGGACTCTTGATGTTTTATTTTCGCGTACCAACTTTACTAAGGCAAACTTTAGTATTTCGGCAGTAGTTTCAATTCCATTTTGGTGTAGCCATGCTACGAGATCAGCTTTCTTGTCGGCCTGAGTAGGTGCTTTATTCACTTGTTTCGAGTGATATGAAGCGTTGTCCATTATTATGATAGAAGGCTCTGGCAGGCTGGGTAATAATTGATTTTCGAACCAATTCGTAAAAGTGTCTGTATCCATCTCCTCGTGGTAATCGGAAGTACTTTTTGACGCGAAAGCCAGCAGTCCATTTTCAAAGAAACCACTTCCAGCAGAACCGGCGTGACAAATTATCAGTCGCGATCCTTTTCCAATTGGAACCTTTGAGGTTGATACTTTTGTTTCGTCAGTCCAAGAGCGTGACACAGTGTGGTTCGCATTTAACCATGTTTCGTCAACAAAAACGACGTTGTCCCAAGACTCGATTTTTCTGGCTTCTCTTAAAAACTCGCTCCTTTTAATTATTAAATCAAATCTTTGCATTAATATTTTCCTTTTATTCGTTTTTTTATATTCAAACCCAATTTCGTGCAATAGTTTTGACAACGCCGTTTCACCGCCTTTAAACAAGCCAGCTTCTTTTAAAGAGACCAAAAGCAAACGTCTAGTTGGAAACTCGTTCCTAGTATAATAACCATATATGTGGTTTCTTATTGCATCTGCATCAAAAACATCAACACCTGTCACGGGCTTTTGTCTTCGTTTTTTCTTAGAAGTGCGTAAAACATTATCTTCACTTCCAGAAGCACCAAATTTTTCTTTATTTATATTATATAGTGTTTTTGCACCAATTCCAAGAGCTTGTGAAACCCGATCTTTCACTTGAGTGACAGGAATCAAAGGGCCGCCATTTTGTGACGCACGCTCAAAGTAATCCTGTAGCTTTAGTACAAGCTCACGACATTGACTATTCAATGTTTTTCCTCGTTTCGGCATTTTCAACAAAATTACCAAACACAAACAAATTAGTCCAATAAAGCGCAACGATAAACAGGAGAAAGCCGAGTCAAAAAACAACGGTTACACAAGAGAACGTAGTCTGTGCGCACGAGAGTATGGAAGACGACTAAACAGATTAAAATAGCGGTGGTAAGGGTGTTGCCAGAATAGTATTGCCAATTACTTAAAAAAATACACCTATAACATTGCTTAATTGAGGGAGAAAATTATATTTATTAAATGTTGTTTTATATATTATGAATGTTAAAAATTATACATAATCATTTTAATTGTATTTATTTTTAAATCATAGAAAACAGTATTTCTGTCTTTGGATCACACATAAATCTTAAAAATCATAGAGATACTGGCAACACAGTGCAATTACGAGACGCAAAAAAATGGTAGCATTATAGTCTAGTTGCTCGAAGGAATAAGTAAAATAAAAATATCCAAATAAAATAAATATCATATCTATTCCAATGAATTCGGACCGAATACTATCAAGCACATCACTATGAAAACTAGACGCACGATGTAACTTTGTACAAGCGCGCCAAAGAACAAAAAATAAATGTTTTCATATTATTTACAAACTATTTTAAGTTTTGAAACAGAGTTTATTGGAAAATTACTTGATTCTGACATTTTGACATAAAGATTTATATTAAAGAGGTATTCTAAATCATTCGGCAAATGTGTCGCTCGTGCAAGGTTATATCGATTAATTTAAGAATAATCTGTCAAATCGGTAATAACTCAGCGGCCGTACTATAGTATATTACATACTAATTAAATCATTAATTTTTTTTACGTAAATTGAATTAATTTTTATTTACTTTTTAATTTTTTTTACTTTAATTTTTATCTACTGAAAAATTTAAAAAGAACTAACGAACTAAATGAGCGAACTAGTTCGCTATAGGACTACGCTCTAAATTGAGCGCTCCCAATGGTGACTAAAGTGGATGGAGAGTAGTGGACTGTATTTGGTATTTTAACTGGCGGTGTGAGGTTAGCTATACTAGGGGACTGCTCGAAGAAAAGATGGTACTTTTAATTATACTATATTCACTATTTACAATGGGTTCGGTACATTAACTAATCACTATACAAAAGGGAGGTCTTCAGTATGGAGTCTTCTGTCTTGATTCTTCCTTGCCGCTTCCGAGTGAATGCTTCTGACTGATCCGAAGGAACCCGAATGAACCCGAATGAACAACGATCGTCCGAGGCGCCCTTCTTATATTTCCGAGAAGAGCGCTTCATTTCGTCGGGTTAGCCGCCCGATGGCAATTTTCGCCGCACGCGCGCTGATTGGTTGCCCGATATCGCGTGATCAGCGCCGGCGTGCGGGGTGCGCGGGACGTAACGGGGAACGAAGGGGCGACGGGGCGGCGGG